TCGAGGCTGTGGTGGCCGGGAGCGGCCACTGCACTCCAGTCTGGGTGACAGAGTGAGACTCCAGCTCAAAAAATAAAACATAATAATAAAAAAAAAGATGTAGGAGCTTTTGCTGATGACTGACCATGAGTTCCAGAGGACTCTCAATACATTTGGGGATATGAATGGATTAATAAAAAGTGAGACTTAAAATATATCTAATGTTTCTATAAGCCCCATGTAAATGTAAAGTGCTGCATAAATGTAAAGCATCACCGCTATCTCTTTAACTGCCTTGGTTGAAGAAACTTCATTCTGCTTTCATGATTTTCTTTATATTATTTTATATGGATGGTGCCAAAAAAAGTACATACTTATTAAAATTGTAATACTGTCCTGCCTGTCACATGGTGATGCTAGCATTCATATGATTAATGCCATCTTTTGAGCAAACATCATACTACATATCACTATTGTAATTCAATTCAACTTTGAAAAGTTACACATTGATAACCTCTCTCTCTCTCTCTCTCTCTCTCTCTCTCTCTCTCTCTCTCACTCTTTTTGAGTTGGAGTTTCTCTCTGTTGCCCAGGCTGGAGTGCAATGGCATGCTCATGACTACCACAGCCTCAACCTGCTGAGCTCAGGTGATCCTTCCACCTCAACCTTCCAAGTAGCTGGAACTACAGGTGCATGCCACCATGCCTGGCTAATTTTTTTGATTTATTATAGAGATGAGGACTCACTATGTTGCCCAGGCTGTCTCGAACTCCTGGGCTCAGGCAATTCTCTCACCTCCACTTCCCAAAATGCTGGAATTATAGGTGTGAGCTCAGCCAGATAACATTTTTTTGGGGGGGGCGGCAGTGATACAGAGATCTGCTAGTGTCTGTTCATATTGTCACAGCCACTAGAGCAGAGCATGGCAAGGGCTCAAGCACTTTGGTACGTTCCTGACAATATTCCTGGGATCTAATAAAAGGTGCGCTTCTTCTTATCTCCTATGCACTCCCAATAAGTAACTTCAGGGAATCCTTGACTTCCATGTAGTCTATGCCCAATCAACTGAAAGATGCACATCTCCATTTACTCTCTTTTTCTGAGTGGTTATAAGTGTGAATAATATAGTATCAATGTAATTGTAAGCCTTGGGATTTGTATAACTTGTGTCAATGTAATCATAAGTTTTGTGATTTGTATAAATTTTGCATAATGCAACTGTCTTAGACCTTGTAAACTCCCTTGACTCTATGGCAAGCTTCTGTTGGGTCCTACTGATATAAGCTATGAGATACCTCTGATACCTGGCACCAGGAAGTCTGGACCAAAAATGTCACTATGGATAAATGTGGCTGAAACTCAAGTTCTATACAATGTTCTGCTGGTCACATGGCTAATGTATAGGTACTAGCAACTCTGGACTTACAACAGTGAACTGTAAATGCCTGGAGGGTGAGCAGAACCATTTTAGAAAGACCTCGAGTCTGGATTCAAACTCAGGATTCTACCAGTTCCCTGCCCTTTTGATTTATTGGTATCAAGGGGAGCAGCCAAGCATTATTGGGACCATAACACCAGTATTTTCCAAATTGACAAAATTCTTTGCTAGCCTTATTAACGTTTCCCCTTATGATTCCTCTCACATTCCCTACATATCTTTTCTAAAATCTGTTGGAGAAGGCAAAAGAAACTCGTTCCATAGGCAAAATATCATGCAACTCTAATTGTATAATGTCCTATTATTCTGTCTGCCTTAAACACAAATTTAAAGATGGCAGAAATTTTAGAGCTGGAAGAGAACCTAAGTTAACATAATGCAAACTTTTCATTTTACACCTGACCAGAGATTATGTGGTTTGCCAAATTTTATCAGTTAGTTACTAGGAAAACCAGGGCTAGAACCTATGCCTCCTCCTTTTGACCTTCCTTCTGCTTTTCTTGGAATATTAGAAACAGAAAGAAAGAGGATCACTGTGGGCATAGTGGTTGTGTGTAAGCTCTGATGTCAGATTAGCCAAGTTCAGATCTTAGATCTGCTACTTATTAACCATGTGACCTAGACCTAGTAATCTAACTGTTCTGTGTCTCAGTTGTTTTAACCTCTAGAATGGAAGGCATAATAGTATCTACCTCATAGGAGCATTATGAGGATTAAATGAATTAATGTATTAAAGCATGTAACAATGCTTGATACATAATGACCAGAAATCGAAGCTATTGTTACTATTTTGCACACACTCTGCTAGCTGCTGATATACTGTAACAAAGATTAACAGAGGCCAGGGATTTTTTTTTTTTTTTTTTGAGTTGGAGTCTCACTCTGTTGCCCAGGCTGGAATGCAGTGGCATGCCCACGGCCACCGCAGCCTCCACCTACTGGGCTCAGGGGATCTCTCTACCTCAGCCCTCCAAGAAGCTAGAACTACAGGCATGCACCACTATGCCTGGATAATATTTTGATTTATTGTAGAGATGAGGTCTCACCAAGTTGCCCAGGCTGGTCTCAAACCTTTGAGCTCAGGCAATCCTCTCACCTTAGCCTCCCAAAGTGCTGGGATTACAAGCATGAGCCACCACCCCCGGAGGCCAGGGATTTTACCCACATCTATTTTTGTTTGATCTGAAGTTTAAGAAACACAGACAAAACATGAGATAGTGTTTACAAATCTGGATATTTCACAGAGATCCAACTTTCCAGTTTCTCTTGAAAGTCAGGTCTGACCTCCTTAGGCCAGAATTCTCAGGTAGTAACAATTGACTGGAGCCTAAAGCGGCTACCCTCTGTTTACATAGTTTCCATCTTTTAATTTTTTTTTACTTTTTAAAAAACTTCAATAGCTTTAGGGGTTACAAATAGTTTTTGGTTATATGGTTGCATTGTATAGTGGCAAAGAAGTCTGGGCTTTAAGTGTACCTACCACTCCCATCTGTGCACATTGTACCTAAGTTTCCATCTTTTAGCTTTACCTGCCTGACTACTGCATGCCTTTGGATTTGCATTCCAGACTAAGACAATCCCAGCTCTCAAGGAATTCACAATCCAACAAGAGAGGAACATTGTTAAACAATTTATGGTACATTGTGATAGGAACATATACAAAATTGCAAAGTACAAGTACAACTGTGGCCTGAAGGAATGCTAGTGTCCTAAAAGGAGGTGTTGATGGTATATGTCAAGAAAGGGACTTTGTGGGTGACAGAGTGAGACTCCAACTCAAAAAAAAAAAAAA